TGTGTTCTGAATTTATTAAATGGTCGTGTATTATGAATCATTACTTGTGTTTTCCTTGAAATATCTAATGTTACTCTACCTAATTCGCACCGCAAACTATAGTGATCTTAATTTATTTTCTATAATATATATTCGATTTGCATTTTTAAATTTTCTTCTCGATAAATCTATCTATCAGTTAAATATAAATCAATAAATAAATAAAAGTTAGATATAAATAAATAAATCTATCAGTTTGATAATGAATTTACGTGTACTGCGATCCGGATGGCTCCTTTTACTAAGCTACCAAGCTTTTGTAGTAGAAGAATCCACAAGGATGCTTTTTTCTTCATATTTTATATCACAAAAATACGTCATATCGAAAAAATACTTCCCATAACAAAAATAGTAATTCGTGTCTTATAAAAAACTAGCTGTTTTCCAGCGACTTTGCCCGCGTTAATTATAGCATATGTCGCTCGCATATGATGCAGCTTTCCATAGATATAGAATATAATAGAATAGGTGAAAGAATCTTTAATATCTATCCAGTGATTTTGGTTAATTCCTTTTTAGAATATAAGTATAGTATATTGTTGGTTTCTCCCAACACATTACATTAGCTTATTATGTATATTCTTACTTTACTCTGTGACCAGTTAGTATCTATTACTTCTACTCTTTCATCTATCATATATATAATACTATTGATTATCAATCGACTACGGCGTTTGCTTGTTAATGTATTTTTAATTTGATAATAATTTATATACTTTTCGTATGTTCATTGAATGTAATTAACGTAAATATTAGCTTGAGGATTCACCTCAGCAATAAATAGAATATTGAATGTGCAGCGTTTGCATTCGGAGTCTTAGAATTATACCCACAGTTTTACATCAATACTTTCCATTGCTACAATATCTTAAAATTGCTACCGAAATATATTTAAATAACATTATTAAAAGAACTATTTGAATTAAAAATTCAAAATGTACTATTTTTTTTTAAAGGAGAAAATATATTCATGATCAGACCTTGCACCTTGCACCTGGCAAACACTAAACACATTTAAATTGAATATAGTTGAAGTTGAAACATGACATTCATGAATTATTTATAAAATACTGGGTTAAGAAATTTATGTTCTAATAATAAAACTGGTTCACATGCAAAGATTCTACAAAATACAACATACCTCTCGTAAACCTTAAACAAATCGGGTTCATCTGTCATTATAATCGCTGACATCTTTCAATTAAGCGCTTTATGTTGCCGTTACTTAACTTTAGAAAGGCATGTTCATTTGTCATCTTCAAACCCAAATCTACATGATATATTTACTAGTGGACATAATAGTAATGCCTGAGGTCTTAACGTGAGCTTTTGGTCACGTGATATTTTAATCAGCATTTTTTAACTCCCCCTCCTCCTTGGTGATACATGGTCAAATCACTACTTTTCTTAAATTCTAGTGCCTGATTTTTTGAATTATTATTGAATATTATTAAAAAATCAATAATCGGTAATTTCAAATACATGTTGCAGAAGCTTAGAAGTTTTAAAAAACTTTATCTTACTTTATGTATTATATTTTTTAATTTAATTTATTAGTTTTGTCATGATTACGAATTCATATTAGTGATTTACTTTATGCAACCTCTTAAATGAGAAACAAAAATCGTTGTCTAAGTGAGACAACGTTATAAGCGAGTATAGCTCTATCCCACTTTGACTACTGCTATAGGATTGTGTTATATGATTCATTTTAAGTCTCCTGACTCTGTATATTCATCATGTACAGTAGGATCCGCTGGCCTTTCACCTCAACGCGTTTAGGTGTTAAAGTTTGTCATAACATAGTAGACATTCATCAATTTAATTATTGCTTTAGGATGGATACGTTTCGTTCTCTGTCATTTATTCAAATAACTTACCAATACTTTTTTATTGTTCTAATAAAATATGATTGTTGTTTTTTTTATTGATTCTAACAGACTACTGGATTATCCGTATTTATTCAATTTTCATAGCAACTTATATAATATGCTGTTTTCATAAGAACTTGGTAGATACCATCCAAATCAGGGTTTGTGCTATTAAAGTAGACACTGTTCTTGTAGTGTGAGGATCTTGAAGTTGGCGGTATATCGATAATAGCTTTATATAGTACGTCCCCAGTTTAGCCATTGTCATCATATGTCACCTTTACTAGGGTAGAAACCTTCCTTGTCGTAATCACCCATCCGTTTTATTGAAAGTTGTTTAGCCTCCGTCCTTCAATTATGTTACCGATCAACAATATTACCATATTGATCCGGCCGGAAATCTACAGATATTAAGATCCTAATTAGATAGGTATATTGTGTAACTACTTACGTGGATCATTTTTCCATCTCATTTCTTTAATGACACAGAGTATTTTTTTAGTTTAATTTATCAAAAGTTGTTTTAGAAGAGCAGTATTACATTTGCAGTATTTCATGACATACTAGGATAAAAGAGAAAAGTGTAAATGTTAGAATCGACTCCGATAAAATACATATGGATAAAATAACAGACATAATGAAGAAAGAAGACATGCATATATGTGGGGAATTCTAGATTTTTTTAGTATGTAAAAATAAATTGTCTGATGTCTGCAGTCGTGCTATTCTATTATAAGAATAGCCTACAACTCGACATCGTTAAACCATATATACTACAGTACTATAATTGAACCTCTACGTTCAGTAGACAGCGCCGTTCTCAACGTCGAGTTCGAGGCTGTTTTGAACAAAATACTATGGCAGATGTTATTTGACAACCTCTGTAGTAGAGTAGCATAAAATAACAACTAACAATTTTATAACACTTTCTACTGAACGTTGTAAATGGAAATGTATGTATTATAATATGGTAGTTCAATAAAACGGGTACAGCAGAACGGATTTTATTTTATTTCATTAATTATTCACGGCCAATATTTAGTTATGTAACAATTAAAATGACAGCTGACAGAAATAAAGCTTTAGTTTCTTCTATATTTTGAATGTTTTATTGATATAAGAGTACAGTCAAAATTTTCCTCATTTTACGCATAATATTTTTAAGAGTTTTCAATATATAAGAGGAAACAAAATAGTTAAAGAAACATATATAAAGAAACTTTATGATCATATATCTGTATAGAATTTGTAAAGAAGAACGTACAATACAATATATAATTACTCGACACGATTCAAAATAAAACCGCCTTAAGACTTTGAGTGTAACTGGTGTCTGTTGCGATAGCTTCAAGCGCAGATCCCTAGAACCCGTTCTGTACAAATATGACTATTTTAAAGTCTAACGGTCAGTTGCACAAACGTTCTTTAAGGTTTAATGACATCTTTAAGCTCTAATGAATGTCAAATTTGTATGGGTAATGTCGCTTTAAACTGATGTCAATTTTAATAGACGTTTGTGCAACTGGCCGTGAGTGTGATCATAAATAGAAACATGTTACTGTCAACAATGGCTGAATATGAAATGACTGAGCGAGAATTGTAGAAAAGGAAGATATTGCATCCCTGACTCCGAGTAAAACTGGTCCGTTTTAGTTTTAGTCGGCTTCGATAGGTAGTAGCTCGATGGCATTTAAACGCCTACGATCGTTGTTGCTTAGCGACTTTCGCAAGGAGCTGGCACAGGATGGGTGACCAAAAAATATTATCTTATTAATATTACGATAAGAGAGTAAACAAGACAGAATATGTTGCACTGTATCTGTCTCGCTCGAACTTTTGGAGGGTCCTGGTCCATTGTCCTTAACCATCCATAAGGAACGCCTAAGTCCCTGGAGTGGGGACGTAAAAAGGCTGATGATGATGATAAGCTAAATAAAAGGCACCTAATATAGTGGTTAATCGGTAAGCTATAGGTATCAGTTACCAGTCAAACTAATTTGTAATATAAGAATAGAATAATACCCAGCCACAGTTGTAATATTGCATCAATCTAGTGTAACCCACCACAAATAGTAAGTAACTATTACCAATACTCTGGAAATTATTGCAAAGAATGTTTACACAGTTTTCATAACATCACCCATCCTTGAATTTAAAATTCGTGTTAATTTCGTAATTACCTATTTAAAGTAAGAAAATGATTGACGCGGTTCTACGTTGGAGTCAAAGGTCTGGTTAAGTAAGACTACATTTAAAAGTGCTTGTATGTATACAATATATTGTTTCAAATATGTTGAGATAATAGAGATAGATGTCACAGTTAATGTCTGTTCGGTCATATTACCATATCCGATACAAGTGTAAGAAGAGTTTTAAGTAAAATGAAGCGACAGTAACTTAATACCGCATCATACCCTAGCGACGTGAAAGAAAAACAATTTTCCCAACCTCTAATGTAGAGTCAATGTAGAATGTGAACTTTTTTTTACTGTGTCAGGTCTGGATTGTGCTACCTTTAATGTCTCAGATACCCTGCAATATGAGTGCTTTTGTTACTATCTTGGAATCTGAGCAACGCATGTGATGTTATTTAATATTTATTTATTTAAATGTGAAAAAAACATCGAATTTTTCAAAAAAACGGTCAAAACTGAACATGTTCAAAAATTATCAAAACTGAACGTGATCTAAATTGTATAAATGACTTGTATAGTGGGTTTAATAAAAAAAAAACAAAAGATTTTACGACATTTCATTCTCAACATATTATAATTTTTATCTGACTTTGTGTGATGAATGAAACAACTTTTAAACCGTTTCATCGAGTTTGTATTTAGTGTTATTGTTATTTCGGACTCTTTACACGTTCCGTAGGCACAGGATCAGGCAACACAAAACCTGTTAAGGGTCCGACACGTCAATAAAACTAAATGCAACACCATGACACCATTTAAATTTGTCTCGTTTATGGATAGATCGCGTGAAAATATACGAAATCAATATTTTGTGTGAAATAGACGACACTATAATCAGACAATATAATCATTGTGTACTGTGTGAGCGTGTGGTAACTGATGTCGTGTGTAACAGGGCCTGAGGGGGTCGCCGGTGCGGACCAGGTTCACGTGCCAGGGACGGGCGTCCGGATACTACGCCGACGTTGAAACCGGCTGTCAGGTGAGTGAGCTACCGTTTTTATTTATACACCGATCTATATTATTTCGTGTGCAATATTAAGTAATTGTTTGTTGCTCCAAATATTATTAAAAAGTAATTATCGACATGCAAGGAGTGCAGTGACGTATAGATATAGGTAACTGAAGAAAGAATAAAAGTGAAAAGAGGGAAATAGAATAAATTAGCTAATGGTAGAGTTATGTGTCTATGGCAACGGTGAAAAAAATAGAAAATAAAAAAGTTTAGAATAATCAAACTTTACTGTACTGAGAAAAAAAAATCTTGAAATAATATTTAAAAAAATAATATTATTTGCATTTTTGAAATACAGTCGAATCCGTTTAATATGACACCGCCTATAGTGACCAACCGCTTATTATGACGTAATTACACAACGAAGTTTGGTTTTCATATAAAATTCTTGAAAAAACGTCGGATATAATGACTTTGCTTATAGTGACATGTCGGTTATTATGACCCATTTTTAATAAATTATTTCCGGTTATAATGACCGCCTAGACTTTTTACACTTCCGATAATTGTCGGTGATTCTCGGCGTCGTTCGGCACGTGGCTAACTTGAAAGTGATGGAGAAGATGAAGTCGAGGAAGAACCATTACCTACCGCAAAAGAGGCATTAAAGGCTGCAGAATTATTATCACGATTTGTTCATAGCAATATTGAAAATGATAATTTGACGATGGTGATCTTCTTTAGACAATACTATTAGAGACTGTTATTACAATAAAATGAAAAAAACAAAAACAGGCAATAATTACAGATTTCTTAATAAAAAAAAAATGAAAAATACTAATATTACATACTTAAATGTATCGTTTATAATTTTTACTTGTAATTTTTTTATGCTTTATTAAAAATATTAAAATAAATACCTAATTAGAATTACATAAAAACAATTTTTATCACCAAACTCTTTGTATGACGTCCGCTTATAATGACGTGTTTGTCAATTCCCTTCGATGTCATAATAAACGGATTCCACTGTATACAAATATTGAAAATTGAGAAAAAATCCACAAACGGTATTAGTCGGTAATGAGATCTGGATAATTATAATGCGTAGTGTACAACATACAGAAACAAGTAAATTGGTAGGTAACTTATCAAGTTATCGTTTAGAAATTATAATTATCTAAACGTGTTGTTGTTTATAATGTATGTACATGAATTCTAATTACCACTCAGAGATTCACATACCGATCTTTTAATAAGTACTTATGTTAGGTTATTGTAAACTTACTATACTTAAGTAGTCATACACACGAAGTATATGCAAAACACTCGTACTTATGGTCTATGATGTGGAGATTCAGTTTGTTTCGCAAGGGTCGATCATAGGATGGGTGAGTAACAATTTATTATCTCAAGCTTCCCCGTGCGTGAAAGTACGTTAAGCCGTTGGCCCCAGATGTTTCTTCCACATTGGGTCTGCATGTTGCGTGGTATTACAGGCTGGTGAAGAGGAAGAAAATCGTTAAAATATAGCTTTTCCACATTGGGTCTGCATGTTGCGTGGTATTACAGGCTGGTGAAGAGGAAGAAAATCATTAAAATATAGCTTTTAATTATATTACGTGGACAAAGTATTATTCTTGTTTTATCACTGCATGGTGTGCATTAAATATGTGTGACGTCATAATATCTGGACATGGTGGTACAGTAACAGATGTGCGGTCGAAGGTGAGCGACGATACCAAATTAGTTCTACAACGCCCACTTACAACACGTGAACCACATCGCTAACTACAGTGAGAAAGTGTCGACGTGTACATTTTGATATTTGGGAATTGTATAGTCGGATAATGAACAAGGAACATAATCAGGTTAGAAGATATAAATTGTTTTAATTTAAATGTCAGTGCATTGAACTAGGTTTCAAGTCATCGATGTCTAAGTAAAGTAGAGCAGACGGTACTATTAAGATAATATCTATTAATATTTTGTCTACCTATTGGAAATAAATATTTTGTTTGAAAATAGTATTTAATTGACGACCTCCGTAGCCGAGTGGTTCGCACGCCGGTTTCAAGGTGTCGCCATCTCTGAGGTCCCGGGTTCGATTCCCGGTCGGGTCAATGTAGAAAATGAACTTTTCTATATTGACTCGGGTCTGGGTGTTGTGGTACCTTCGTTGTCTCAGATACTCCACAATACGGGGGCTTTAGCTACTCATCTTGGAATCTGAGCAATGTATGTGATGTTGTTAAATATTTATTTAATTATTTAATTCGTGAAGCGTAGCACTCGATACTCAGTTCCAAATCATTCCAATGTTAAAGTTATAGAAATCGTATTTGTTTATAGAACACTAGCTATTTTCTATCGACTTTGCATGCGTAAATTATAACCTATATCAACCTGTATTATGTAGCTAACCGAAGATGAAAGAATGTTTAAAATCAATGCAGTATAAAAACATCCACCACCAGTCACAGATACTCTGATATGGGTCTCGAGCCCACGACCTTTCAATCACCCGGATTGTGAAAAGTCGTCGAATTCGATGCAAACAAACAAACGAACTATCAAATCTTTCCTTTTTATAATATTTGTATAAACAAGACAATTAGTAATTAATCAGGTAATAACATAGGTATTCCACGAAATGGAGCGTCTAAAATAATTTTGATTTATTGTAATATTTCTTAATATTCTTCAGCTACGCTCATATTAATCACTATTTATTTTAATAATATGTGATCGGTACAAGTAACTTATAAATATTTTTTATCGATAATATTTAAGAATGTTTCATGTTGACTCAATTAGAAACTTATACATGATATAGTTTACTCATTATTTATTACAATATATTGTTCCTAAAAATTTGAAATAAGTAATATAGATGCTTCGCTTTAAGCACGCGCATTCATATTAATATAACTTACATATTTGTTAACATGACCATTATAATTTTCGTTTACTTATGCCAGCGGAACTATATTTTCGAAGCGACTTCTACAATATGTATTGACTCAAGATGCTAAGCAATATGTTGTAACGGTGTGCCATGCCACCGTTTGTTTTCCTAGGTTTCAGTATGCAAACTTTTTGTTTTTGAAATTCAACATCATTTCATTTTATTATTCGTCTTTCGTAATTTAAAATTTTGACTAATCATTGACTAATTACTAATTATAACTGACTAATTATACTCTTTATGGATGTCATTTCGTAAGAAATTCTTCTATGCACAATATGAAAATTATTATACAGTATTAATGGTATAAATTTAATGATGTAATTTTAAAATAATTCATAGATTGTGATAAAGAATGTGATATTGTGATACAAATTATATAACATATGAACTAAATTGTAATCTGTATTTTGGACGATCCAAGAGTTTAACTAAAAGCCCGACAAGGGTTTCTTATTTACCTTTACAATTAATAAATCTATACTCAAGCTAATCAGCCTTATTAATTGACCCAAGCACCGAACCCGTCACAATGTAAATAAATCGGAATCAATTTTATTATTATTCGTACTAAGATATATGGAAAATAAGTATTACATTATTGCATTCCCAAAACCATAACTCTACAACGCATGATAAATGGTGCGTCGTAATCTCGCTTACGAAAATATTCTTTAACGAGGGACATTTCGAAGGATGACTTTACTTAAAGCTGCTCACTATAATGCAGCGACATGGCGTAATTGCAAAAGTCAAGGCTTCGTAAAATTCGTCACGGCTACGATCGGATATTGACATAATTATTATTTGATGCCAAAACTTTACATAAGCTTTTTTATCTGTAATAATACAGATTCAGTTGTCTAAATGTCATGTATTATTACCTAGTTAAATTCACATCATGTATGACTTAAGTGTCGCAATGTAATTTTGTAAGAAGGTAATTTTAAAGAATTAGATAAGCTGACGATCGATAATTCAAAATACAAAAGTCTAGTTTTTCTTTATAGTGTATTGAAGAAAGGATTGGTGTGTAGGGCTCTTCGGAATATACAGTGTCTATACAATATAATAAAAAAATAAGTTATACTTCTTTATGCTTTATTGCCTACATAACAATGAATAATGTCTTAATGCCATTAAGCACCCGTAAACCGGCGAGTCGTAGTAGAAAACATACTATGAAACATTTTTTATTTGAAATTTGCAGTCTTTTTTCCAAAGTGTCCATCCTGTTTTAAACACTCCAAAAGAAATAAGTTGTTGGTAGAAGAGTTCATAATGGAATATACTAAACTATTAATTAATTACTCTTTACCAATCCCAAAACATAAAAATACTTTGGGAATATACAAAGTTTTTCTAAATTATGTATGTAGTTGTAAATTATTTTACACTTTATTACTTAGTTCCATAAACATTTATTCATGTTCAGGCGTGGATACACCAGTGCTATTCTGTAATAAAAACAGTCTGAAACTCGACGACAAGCACAGTGCTGTGACCACGTGGAGGTTCAAATAAAACCCACATGTTTTTTTTATTAAAGAATTGCATACCACATAATTTATACTCGTATGATACTTATAATGCAATCAGGATGATTACCTACTAAAAACAGGATTGCTGCCATTTAAAAGGGGATTGCTTCTTCTTCTGAAAATGAAAAGAATTGATAGACTAGGTATAATTGCAATCGAGAAAGTGCTGTACCTAATGATCTTCCACATCTATTGAAGTGTAATGAAACAGTTCCAATACAATTAAGATGACAAAACGTTTCAAAAAATGACCTCAGTAATTATTTTTTGTGTGTATATTGAAAGTAAGTTAATAGTAGTATTTATATAAAAAAGGCTGTTTTGCGCAAACCGTTGCGTCTGGTTTTATCAAATTTCTCTTAGTTCCTTCTGTACGCAATGTGCATTATTAGCGCCAGGGCTGTTACTTGTGCTAAGTCATTTATGGAAACTTTATTTTAAAAATTCCCCTATTTTAAAGCATTTTGTATATTATACTTATATAAAATTTAAATCTATAAGAATGTATTCTATCGTAC